TGAAGATGGTCAGGGCCCAGGTAGCATACTGCAGACATCAGCAGATGTAAGAGGAGGAACTGCACCTGGCTTCCTGTTACCCAGTAATTTTTGGGCCAGTTTTGAAGCACAATTCTATAACCAATCACCATAAGCCAATAAAGAACAGAAAAACTATTCTGTTGAAATACGGCCCTTACCTGCAAAGAATTCAAGCAGCACGTTTCATGCTGAAGAAAACAGAAGTGGTCATTTAGAAGCTAGCTCTCTCTGATTTCTTTGGCGCTGTGATTGATTTTAACAAAGCAAAATAAATGCAGTAGAGCATTAATTGGGAGCATCTAGCGAGATACTTCTCTTTGATTTTAATGGCAAATCATTTACACTATTATTCTTGCCTGCAAGGACAAACAATCAAAGTAATTGCATGAAAGGTAATAATGATTCGTAAACACTTTGCAGCAGGATTAGTTTTCAGGTAATTAAGAATAATGGCTGATCTGAGATGTGCCTGGGTGACTGTTCCCCTGGCTAGCAGCAGAGGTTTCAATAAGGTTGCCATATGAAATTATACAACAACAGAATAATAGCATTTACTTAATTCAGACTCATTGCAACAGCAGAAAGCCAAGTCTTCAATAAGGTTGCCATATGAAATTATACAAGATGATAGATAACAGAATAATAGCATTTACTTAATTCAAACTCATTGCAACAGCAGAAAGCCAAGTCCTTCCTGGTAGATGTCCAAGAAGAAAACACTTGGGGTCAAATTCTGTACTCTTCCTCACATTGCTAGAGGGATCCAAAATAACTGCACTGCAGTCCATCTGGAGCAGTGCCAGTGATGTATGAGGTGAAGCAGCAGCAGAATGGAGCTTCTAAGCTGCAATGGCTCAAGTCTCCTTTTGAATAGTCAAGAGGGAAGAATGAGTTCTCAGTCCCCCTTCTGACTTTTGCTCAAGTTCTGCTTTTCATGGCAGCTGCAAGGAAACAGAAGCATGTGTGTTTGAACTGCAGTCTGTATAGGTAATGGTCTTTTAAATGGGGAAAGATAGAGCCCTCAGTGTGATTTATGGAAGGATGTTACTGGGGAAATCACCAATATTTATGAAAACAGATATTTTTTTTCCTTAAAATTTCTTCAACAGCCCATGGCATTTTCTTAGTTTCTTGATTCCTCCCTCTGCAGATATAAATTGGTTCTCATCATTAATTAAATATCATCAAAGATATTGAACTGAAATTTTAATGTGGGTTTAAGTTTAGTATTTAGAAGCCAGGGACTTTTTTTCTGCTTTATTTCTTGTCTAATTTCTCTTTCCTTGGAATCAATAAGAGGGCTGCTTTTGGCATCAAATGGCCTAGGATTTGCCATTTTGTCATGGCATAATTCTGCCACTCTTAAATCACTTTAAGTAACCCCATTAGCCCCAGCGTCACCACTGTCCATGATGAAGTGTTGCGGGTTAAGACACTTACAAGTATGTGCTGACATAATTGGCCTTTAAGAGTGTCTAAAGCAATTAAATTACTGAACATGCTGCCTGTTCATTTGGCTGCCCTCAAAGGTGTCCTTGTCACTGTGCAGGAGGGCAGACAGGGACATGCTCAATACCTCTCCCCACCGCCAGTAGGATCACATCTTACATGGCCAGTCAGGTTTGTGGCATCTTGTGCTAGAAATAACTCGCCATAGACCAAGATGAGACATTTTAATGTTTACCAGAAAAACATTATTACTTGTATATTGGCAGAGTTGGGGATTTTTGTTTTATAAGAATATGGAGGCTGCATATGGGCAGTGCAGTCCTATAGAGAATTACACTAGTCTAAACATAGCATTGCACTTAATGGAGAGGAATGCCATTGAATGGGATAGGCTAGTTCAGCACCCCACATATCACATGTCAAGACAGAAAGGAGCAACATGAGCTACCGGTTTGGTGTAGTGGTTAAGTGCGCGGACTCTAATCTGGGAGAACCGGGTTTGATTCCCCACTCCTCCACTTGCACCTGGCTGGATTACCTTAGGCAAGCCGTAGTTCTGATAAGAGTTGTTCTTGAAAAAGAGCAGTTTCTGTTAAGAGCTCTCTCAGCCCCGCCCACCTCACAGGGTGTCTGTTGTGGGGAGGGGAAGGGAAAGGAGTTTTAAAGCCTATCTGAGACACCTTTGGGTAGTGAAGGGCGGGGTATAAATCCAATCTCATCTCTTCTTCTTCTTCTTCTACCATATGAGATCAGGGCCCTGCGGGATCTATTACAGTTTCGCAGGGCCTCTAGCTGAGGCAGTGGACATCCACTTGATTAGTTCTCCCCCCCCCACCTGACTGCAGATCCTGGAAACCAGACTGGGAACACATTAACTGCCACTGAGGTGCATTGTTGTTTTAATGCTGATGTTTTAATGATGCAAGGATGATGATTTTATGGATTTTTAAATCGATTATTGTAATATGTTTTCTAATATTGTAAATCTGCATTCATTGCATTCATTGCAGGTACAGATATGTTGTTACCCACCCTGAGCCTACAATGCGAGGAGGGTGGGCCATAAGTGTAATGAAATAAACAAATAAACAGAATTTAAACGGGAACACATCTACATTTAAAGGCAATCCTATGCAGAGTTAATCTAGTCTAAATTCATTGGTTTCAGTGGGCTTAGATGTGAGTAACTCTGCACAGAATTACACTATTAGTGTAGGATATGCAAAAGGTTGGCAGTTAGATCAAATTAAACTGACCTGATAGGTTTAGTTTGCCTTCTTTCAGGTAGGATGAGATCCAGTTCTAGCCTTTGCTCCTTTCCATGTGGGAGGCTGTATTCTCACTTAGATACTTTCTTTCCCATAATTTAGAAAATGTTTATGCCACCTCTGACAGAAATGTCACAAGGCTCCACCATGCATTCCCATAACTAGTTTTCCAGGGCCCTGAGTCATGAAAGCCTAAGAAGGCATCACCAGATGAGTTATTATTTATTTATTTAGAAAAAAAAATTATTCTGCCTCTCTAAGAACCTGCTTCAGGTAGCTTAAAAAACAAAAACAGAACATAGATGATAGCAATTAAAATCCAGCCCAGCATATAAACATAATCTACAACAACAGACCACTGGCAGCTTAAAATAACAGTTCCCGAACTAAAATAGTGTTAAAGATAAACCCCAATGAAAAGCTTGAGTGAACAGAAACATCTTGGCCTGGTGCCTGAAAAAAAGCAATGCAAGAGCCAGGCAAGGGTCAAGGGGACAGGGATTCTGTAAGCAAGGTGCCACTGCTGAAAAAGCGCGGTCTCTGGTTGCCGGCTGCCTCTGAAGTAGGGGGCACAAAGAGCAGGGCTTGTGAGGCAGATCATTGAACCCAGTCACTGATGTTCATGCAAACAGAAATAGATGGCAGTCAGACTGGAAGTTTGGCACGGTATGGCCGTGCCACTAATCTCTCCGTTTCATTCAGGAATGGAGAATCTTGGTCAGAGATGCCTTTACAGTGCACAGGACTTGCGGGTGATCATTCACACTGTTACAGCGAGCCATCCATGCAGCTTGTGTCAGACAGGCTCCCACCCCATGAACAGGGCTTTGATTCCATCTTGGGGCGTTGGTGGCACAAGACGGTCCCTATGGCTTTGGAAGCCTGTAGACAACTTGTGCAAACAAGTGGTGCTAGATGCCAATAGGGGCAAGTATGCTCTTATGTGCATGTTGCCAGTAGGGGAGGGAACCCTCCTGGAATGGATTGGAGGGTTCAGACTTCCCATCCATTTTTTGTGCGCTCCCATGCATTCAGACATCCGGAAACATGGGATGAGTGTGCAAACATCCATAAGCGCCGGACTTTCTCCGGTGGCTGTTTACTCCACCAACTCGTCATACGACGGGGTGAGTATGACTGGGGAACAGGCACCAGATGTGGCTGTGTGAACGAGCCCATTTAATCCATAAGGGAACTGCAACTATATCTGCCCAAACTGCCCATCTGACCACAGCCACAGTCTGACATTGTCCGATTTCTCAGTTTCTCAGACCCTTATCTAATCCACATTTTTAAAAGCCCTGATTTGGAAAGGTTTACCAGGTAATGATTTTTACCTTATTTACTTAACAGAAAACGTACAGTCTTTTCGTGACAGTGATTGCTGCACAAGGATAAATTCTGCCTTGTTTAATCAGGACAATGATCAATGATATCTGAACTGAGTTTATTAAATTACTAAAAATACAGCTGGAGGCTAGGTAAAGAGTTTTCAGAATTACAGTTAAGGGTTTCGTAAGCATTAATCATGAGATAATGTCTGAGATACATTCCTAGAGCCCGTATGGAAGTTTGGCAGAAAAGAAATAAAATACATCTTGGAATATTTCCCCCTCCCCATAATTTGATTTGGCAGCCTTATATCATGCAAAGGTTTACTAGCCAGCATAACACAGTTCTTTCTCCGTACCTGAAAGCAAGAATGGTATGGATGCAAGGCTGATAGGCCACCTACATTAGTGGATCTACATTAGTGCATATGCATGTATGTGTAGCTGGCATTTTCTCGTTACCCTGTACCAACTTCAGAAATCAATGAGTCAAGCAGCTGTTTAAACCCAACAGCAGTCAGAGTTTCTTGGCTTTTGAACCCACTGTGGCCAATCCCAACTGCTTGTGTGGTTTCCTCCTGCAAAATTACACAACTTTTTAAAATTATGGCCACCAGGATGGACATGAGCAGTGTTCCCTCTAAGCTGAGTTAGTGTGAGCTAGCTCACAGTTTACTAGCCTCCGGCTCGCACATTTTTGTCGTAGCTCAGGAAGGATGGCTCCAGAGCAAACTAATTTATGCAGTAGCCAAATGACTCATTCACAACTTTAATGCGAGTAGCTCACAAAGTGGAATTTCTCTCTCTCACAAGACTCCACAGCTTAGAGGGAGCATTGGACATGACATGACCTGATCAAGAGGTTATTCAAGGTCTGCTAACCACACTGTATCATCCCTCTGTTAACGTTTGTCCTATCCTGTTTTTCCAGCCTTGTGACCCCAATATAATGCAAACACGAGCACGGCAAATGTTGAGATCGCCTTTAAATCCCAAGACCTGCCCTGAAGATTCTCAAATGCGGCCTTGTGTTCTAAATCAAAATTGTTTTCAGTATCATTACAATGTAACAGGTAAGTGCACTTCACTGGGGTTTGAAACAGATTTAGGCTCCTTTGTGCTTGTGTCTAAAGGAGAGTGCTGAATGGTAAAAGAGGGAGGAAGATACTGGAAAGACTGATTCTAAGTCGACTGTGGAGCATGCTAGAACCAAGAACAATTTCTTGTTTCTCAGCCTAAGGTAGCTCACTTCTAATTGTTACGAGTCTGACTGAGAACAGCAAAATACTTTGTACACTGGAAAATGCTATGCAATTGAGAAATAATAATATAAATATATGCTCAAGCAGAAACTTTTATAAGCTGCCCTGTATTTAAGAATGCCTGCCTGAAATTATGTTCTGTTCACTCTCCAGGTGTTCTTGTGTTTTCAGTTAATATCTACTTACTACAGCCAACCTTATTACAGTCCCACTGAGTTCGGTGAGACTCACTTCTGAGTAAGTGTGCCTAAGATTGCAGCCTTACTCTGCTAAAACTAGACCTGCTATTTTCCACTTATATAATTAAGTGTAAGCAATAGCATATGAGTGCTTCCATTGACATGGGTGAGGCTATTCAGACGCTTGAGCATACGCAGGCTTCTTATGTTACCACTGCAGACAAAAAAATGTAATTACACAAGACTGGTTTTCAGTTTAGGGACCATACAAGTAGAAGTGGGTTACAAATGTTTAACCACTGGGAAACTTAGCATATAGAACTTAAGTTTAAAAAGGTAAAAGGTAAAGGTTCCCTTGCTCGAAAGCCAGTCGAATCCAACTCTAGGGTTGCGGTGCTCATCTCCGTTTCAAAGCCGAAGAGCCAGCGCTGTCCGAAGACGTTTCCGTGGTCATGTGGCCGGCATGACGAAACACCAAGGCGCACGGAACGCTGTTCCCTTCCCACCGAAGTGGTACCTATTTATCTACTTGCAATTTCTTGCTTTCGAACTGCTAGGTTGGCAGGAGCTGGAACTAGAGACGGGAGCTCACTCCGTCATGTGGCACACTCGGGTCTCGAACTGCTGGACTACCGACCTTCCACAGCCTGCAGTTCAGCGTCTTAACCACTTGAGCCACCGCAGCTCCTGAGTAACTTCAGTTACTGAACATTAAATGTGGTGATGGAAAATGCCGTCAAGTCACAGCTGGCTTATGGTGACCCCATAGGTAGGGTTTTCAAGGCAAGAGTTGTTCAGAGGTGGTTTGCCATTGCCTGCCTCTGCGTCATGGCCCTGGTATTCCTTGGTGGTCTCGCATCCAAATACTAGCCGGGGCCAACCCTGCTTAGCTTCTGAAATCTGACAAGATCAGGCTAGCCTGGGCTATCCATGTAAGGGCAATCATTAAATAAGAAACTAATAAAAACTCGCATACTTAATTTGATGGCCACTGCAATCTTTTGTTTAGATGCAGCCTCCTGACTACATAGAAGTGGAATGAACCCATTGTTCTTGATAGAAAGAAGAGGCAAAACTGTGTTGCCCCAATCCAAGAATCTGTTCAAAGCACAGATACCTGCAGTGCATATTTGGAACTTTTCTGCCTGCAAGGAATTCCCTATTTACAGTTCATGCAAAGGGATATGTGAATGGTGATATCCCTTCCATCAAATCTAAGAGATCTGCATGCAAACTGATGCAGCTGTATCATTCTGAAGGTCTTTTTAGTTCTTCTCAATGACACAATCCAGAACAGTTGTCGGTTTCAACAACAATTTTTTGTACTGAATTTTGATAACAGGAGTGAGAAATTGGTAGGGTTTTTTATCCTGTGGTTGCTGTCTGACCATTACTTTGCTATGGCGATGAATTGGAATGGTTAGCTGATGTTCTCAGTGGCTGTTAAGTGCTGGGAGACAGTCCCCTGATAACTTTATTAAGTATCCATGGGAGCTTAGAGAAATCGGGGTGGTTGTTTGTAAGCAAAGAAACAGGGAGAGACAGAAAAAGAGGCAGAGGGAGAGCTCCGTGAGTTAATTACAAAAACAGTTGTGAATAACCCCCTTGCTGAGGAGGTCCCGTCTTCTGTCCATTGCGACAAAGAGGAACACACCAGAAATGTAGAGGTAGCCCTTTTAATGGCTTGGCTCCTTTACAACACCAGTTCTAGAGGTTAACCATCACCCCGTAGTCCAGACAGTTCACTACTCACCGCCTCCACCTGCTCCCACTGAGGGGCTGGGGCTGCTTTCCCTGCCTGAGTCCTCCTCCAAGGTCATTATGCTCTTGTCCTGGCCACGGCACCCTTCCTGCAGAGTCAGCCAGGGAGTAGCTAGACTGCCTCAGTCGGGTAGGAAAGGTTCCTTCAAGCTTTCCTCTTGCCCAGGAATGTCACCTTCTGGTGCTCACTGCATAGGCTCCAACCCTGCATAGGCTCCAACCCAAGCCAGGGAGTAGCTAGACTGCCTCAGTCGGGTAGGAAAGGTTCCTTCAAGCTTTCCTCTTGCCCAGGAATGTCACCTTCTGGAGCTCACTGCATAGGCTCCAACCCTGCCTACCTGCTGTTTCTTCCCAGCTTCCTCCTTTACCACCTCCAGCTGGCCCTTCTATCCCTCTACCACTGGCCTCTCCTGGGTCCTGCTTCCCTGTTCTTACTCCTGAACAGGCCCTATCTCTCAAAGGGATCTTTATACCAGAGGAAGCCTTGAGTCCATAAAGCGCTAGTATGGGTTGGCCTTCCTCCCGTCTGCTCCTTCATTGCTCTTGCAGGCCCAAATGTCTCTTCCCTCACTTCTACAACTGGGTGCTGCCTTCCTTAGGGCTGGGCTCTGCCCCTTCTCCCCCAAGGGCAGGGTGTCCAGGGCTGTGACGGGATGATTTTCTGCTTGAAAGGAAATCAGGTCATGTTCCTTATTTGCCCTCCAAAGAAAGCCATGCCTTTAGACACTCAAAGGCGGAGTTCAGACTGGCAGTTTGAAGCATGAGGGAGTCGTGGCAAGAAAGAACTGGAACAACTTGTTCCGGGGATTCCCGGTCACACTGCACCAACCGATGTGGGAGCATACCGGGGAGGAGGCGCAAGGGAGCATTTGCACTGTTGGCCCACCCCCGGCGGAGGCTCAGCTGTAAGGCGTGGCTTTCTTTTTGGTAATCCGGAGATATGCGCTTATGCGCATCAGCAGTTGTGGCTTTTGGCGTTCACACTTCCGGGAAGCAGGAGGAACGCACCCACCAGGGTTTGCTACCAATTTCACTAGGTACTTTTTTAAACTCGGGAGGGAAGCGTTACAAGACGGGCTGAGTATGGCTGGGGAATGCCAGACAGCTGTTCCTGTGTGAACGGTCTCTTTAATCTGTTCGAGAAACGTTTCTGAAATGTGCCTATATCGGGCCAAACTGCCAGTCTGAACTCAGCCAAAGAGTGTCTGAACAACATGTATAAATAAAGTAACAGCTGAGAACTGGTGTGGTGTCATAGGCAGAGTGTTGGCCTTGGATCTGGGAGACCCAGGTTTAAATCCTTACTCTGCCATGAAGCTTACTGGGTGGTCTAGGTCAAGTCACTCTCTTTCACCTTAATCTAACACACATGGTTGTTGTCAAGATAAAATGGTGGAGGGAGAATTATGTATACTTCCTTGAGCTCCTTTGAGTGAGGGCAGGACAAACGTAGGCTAAATGACTAAAAACCCAATGGTTCAGAGGTCCGAGCAATAAAAGTAATCAGATAAGAGCAAAGCAATCAAGGGGGCAAATCGCACATCATTTGTCATTGAACAGGGGACCAAATAAACCTTACTGTGGCCCCTGCCACACAGCAGAAAAAAACACGGCCAATGTGCGGCTATTCAGAGACGCACCAAAAGAGACACGCGGCGGCAGGATCACACATATCCCCTGAGCCGCCGCGCTGTTGCTCCCCGCCACGATCAGATGCCGGGGAGGAAGCCACCGACGGGAGACCGAGGCAGCCAGCTGTGCATGTGTGTGCATGCGCAGTTTGGCCAGGAGCCTCGGATGCGCCGGCAGAAGGACGCGCCGGCGATCCCACGGCCGCACTTGCCATGGCTTTTCTGGTAAGTCCACCTCTGTAGGTGGTTTGTTTTCACCGCGGATTTTTGGCCTGAAGGGCCGGATTGGGGATGGGTGTGCGCCGCTTCCCAGATGTTGCGGTGGGATCGCGCCCATTTGCTGCGCCCCCGATCCGTCCCTCTTCCGGCCCTAAACCTCCCATGTGACCGGGGCCTGTGTTTGACATTAAAAAGTAGCTGGTCTCTCCATCACATCACAGCTGTAAAAACAGACATCACATCAGTACAGATGTTAAAATGTCATCAAAGAAGAATCTAAACAGCTACAAAAGTAACCCCCAAATCAAGAAAAACAAATTAAAAGAAAACAGGCAGGAAGGATGTGACCTTTCCAGACAGGAAAGAAACCTAAAATAACTGCAAATCCATGCATCTCTAGTATATCTAGAACAGGGGTGTTGACCTCATTTGTTACGAGGGCCGGATCTGATACAAATGTTACTTTGTCAGGCCAGGCTGTGTATGCTTTAAGATGTAATGCCAAGTACTGGAGAGATAAACTTTATAAAGGACACAGGCAAATCCAATTAACGATATTATTTTTACTCAAAATACAAACAAAAGCAATTGACTCCTAGTAGTGAAAGCAATTGATTTACAAAAGCCCCAATAAAAGTATTTAATTGTATGCAAGACGAGTTTTTCCCCCAAGGGATCCCATTAGCAGCTGAGCACAGGTACAATCCATCTCTCACTCTTTGTTTCCTCTCTTTCCACGTCCTGCCTCGGAGAATCTCGAGGAGGCGCACCGGACTCTCCCCTCCACCATCCCATCGCCAACAACAGCAACACTCTGAGGTGGGCCAGGCTAAGCCACTGGCCCCAGGTGACCCAGATGACAGCGTCCTGGCTCAGGAGGAGAGGGGGTCTGAGCCAGGCTGTTCCAGATCCTCCACCACCCCCAGTTCTCATCCCTCTTGTGTTTCCCACAGAAGCAGTGGGGCTGAGGGAAGGCCTCATGGAGAGGCTGTTTCCGAATCCTCCAGGGGGCACTTTTGGTTCTCCTGTGACCCCCTTTCCCTCATGGGCTGAGAGCAGGTGGGGGAGAGAAGGGAAGTCACTGTCTCCCACCCACCCCAACACTCACTCTGCTTCCTGGCTCTGCGACTGTTCAGACATGCAGTGGTGACCTCAGCGCCCCTGTTTCCCTTGGCTCCTCCGTTCGCTTCCAAAGCCCGAAGGCCTTTTCCTCTCAGAACAGCATGCGCAAGACAGCCCAGTTGCCTCCCAGTCCATAGGCTAGCCCTCTTCCACCTCTCTTCCCTGCTGGCCGAGTCTCTTTGTTATCTAATGGCTGCTCTGGGTGCCCACTCTTGCCAACCCACCTCATGGCCGCCATTTGAAAAAACGTGAAGCTGGTTGATGCAGCAGTGGCATCGTCAGCAATTCAGCTCTACCCCCCATGTAGTGGCTTCTCCAATCCTTGATGAGCTGTGGTCAGAGGAGGCAGAAGGGGGGGGAACCCACCATGCCTCCTCTTTCTCTGCCTTCGCTGCCATTCCCCCCACACACTTTTTTAACTTAGCCTCTTAGCCCCACCCTCTAGCCTTTTCCTTCCTATTTCTTGACAGCCTCAACCACACACACACACACACACCCCACATGAGCCTGCTTGCATCCCCAAGCACCCTCCTGCCTTCTCTCCCTCACAGTTGCTCACGGGCTGGGTAACAGCCCTGGACAGGCTGGATCAGACCCCACAGGCCTTATGTCTGACACTTAACTCAGGAAGGATGGCTCCAGAGCAGACTAATTTATGGAGTAGCCAAATCGCTCGCTCACAGCTTTAATGCCAGTAGCTCACAAAGTAGAATTTTTGCTCACAAGACTCCACAGCTTAGAGGGAACATTGCCCACCACATGAGCCTGCGTGCATCCCCAAGCAGCCTCCTGCCTTCTCTCCCTCACAGTTACTCACGGGCTGGGTAATAGCCCTGGACAGGCTGGATCAGACCGCACAGGCCTTATGTCTGACTGCCCTGATCTAGAAGATTCCTCAGAAGTAAGAGGGAAAGAACTTTTATCTTTGCCTTAGTGTTCTTGGTGATCAGCATACACAAAAATATGTGTCCATACACACCGAATATTTTAAAGGTCACAGAGAGGCAAAAAGGCAATGTCTTGAAGAATAATCTTTTCACTGACTCTTAGAAGAAGTTAAAATACTTTCAGTTGCCTGTAATGTGTAGTCTTTTACAACACTGTTGTAGAATGGTAAAATGAAAATCAAGAGCCTTTTAAATGAGCCATCCTAAGAAGAGCTGCACCCTTCCAAGTCCACTGCAACCAATGAATTTAGAAGGGAGTAACTCAACTTAAGATGGCTCTGTAAAATAGTTTATACTGAGTGGACCTGGACATTTTATAAGCATTTTATGGTGTGTGTGTTTTTTTTAAAGATTGAAACATGGTTTGCTTTTGTCATATAAAATTTAGACAATGACTGGGACGAGCTTTGCTTTAAGAAGTAGCCCTTCAAAAAACCAAAAAAGTGTATAATATTGTTCTCCAGTAGAATGTCATGACACTTGAACCAATGAATTTAGAAGGGAGTAACTCAATTTAGGATGGCGCTGTAAAATAGTTTATACTGAGTGGATCTGGACATTTTATAAATTATCTGGACATTATATAAAATTTAGACAATGACTGGGACCAGCTTCGCTTTAAGAAGTAGCCCTTCAAAAAAACACAAAAGTTTATAATATTGTTCTCCAGTAGAATTGCATGACACTTGATAAGCCATAGTCTGCTTTTACATGATATGTTGCAGTATGTTTAGGGATCAATTCTAAATAGGTCTTCCTGGAAGTAAGTCCCATGTTTTCAATCGGGCTTACTCCTAGCAAAGTGGCTTTCGGATTACAGCCTTACTGTATGGTGAAATACTTAAAGAGACAAAGAGAGAAAACTTAAATCTTTTTTTAAAAAATAATCTCTTTGCTCCCAGAGGTTGTATCAAAGATCATTCTAAAAACAATGAAACTAACATGCATCCAGAATACCAGACAGGACTAAACACAATTATTAAATATCTTTAGATTGGAGCACTTGTCAGCTAAGTGAAAATGCAATCTGTGGTGAAGGGATTAAGAATCGCCTTCTGAGCTGTGTACGCAGTGATGGGAAAACGGTGAACATGAACTACTGTGAGCAGGTGAGGTTTCATCTGGCACATCTATGCTATTGAAGTCTTTGGTAAATTGTGACACATAGTACAAAATTTGACTTTTTGTCACAGGGTCTTTTGGTTTGTTTCAAATATTTTCAATGTTTCAAATATTCTTTCACTAAATTATTGGAGGGGGTTGAGGTTTTTTTCTTTGTTTTGATGTCAAATTGCAATAGACCTACTGCAACCCCATGGGGTTTTTAAGGCAAGAGACATTCAAAGATGGTTTGCCAAGTGTTTTCAAGAATGAGTTAATACATTTGCTTGATTTCTGCTGCCTGGGTACAGAATTCCATATTTTCATGCATCGTGGAATTCCACACTATCTAGATACAGCTTCATGTGGTGAACAGATTCCTGAAATCTTCATTCCCACTTCATGTGAATAAAAATTTGAGAATCCAAAATATACAGAAGATACACGTAGAACAAAACTCTGGCACCAGTTCATAGCACACACCCACCCCCCACCCCCCGTACATTCTTAAATGCATGGATGACTACCAAGTGTATCACCTTGTCTTTCAAAAATGCTACTTTCATTGCTACATTTGTTACACAAACGGAATATAATTGGTGCTCAATGGAGCACTGGTGCTCAATGGAGCACTGAAATAGCACAGTCCATGCAAAGAAAGCTTACTGTTGAAGGCCTGGCCCCATACATGCACAGAATGAGGCATTAGAATCCTGAGGTGGTAGACTGCAGGTGAGAAGAGTTTTTAATATTGGAAATTTAAAGGGAAGTTCTAGCTTAGCTTTTTGTAGCTGTTTAAGTTTTCCACTTATAGGTAATTATTAATTTGGAAGAACTTTGGGGGGAAAATCCTTTATCTGTTTTCTGAAGTGGTATCGGTCTTACCACCAGAACATTCTGCTGTATGTGTAGGCCAGACCTGTGAGTGTTTCTGTGGTGAAGCCATCATGTTCTAGATCTAGACAGTACAGATTGTGACATGGTGTAAAAAAAATGGGACTGTATAAACACCTAATATTTGACCAAATCTCCATTCATTTAAATAAGCTTTGATTGGTTTGCTATTTCTAAGTAAGCTAAAGGTGTGTTTGTCCCAGTTTGTGTTACCTAGACCCAAACTAGTGTGGAAAGGCTCCTCGACACATTTTTAAAAATACTTTCCTGCCCATCAGTGACAAGCAAATGACTTGTTCTGTTCTTTGTTTATAGCTAAATTTGGAGAAGCCTGCAAAAATGATTACTCACTGCCTTGTGGAATGTGTAGTAAATTGCCAGCTGTCAGAGTGGTCTGCCTGGTCAGAATGTTCACATTCATGTGGCCTTACAGGTAACTTGTTGATCAGTGTTCTGCCTGTGTTCTTTGAGCAGTAGTATACTAAAGTGTGTCAGTAACATGTGTTCATGAAGATAAAAGTTTCACTTAAAACCAGGGGTCATTTCCTGTGGGAGAGCACAGGAGCGGCGCTCCGGCAGTAAGGAGCCCAAGGGCGGGCACATGCAACAAGCACCACCCCCTTGCTCCAAGCAACCCTCAGTCGGGCCACAAGGAGCAAGAAGCAGCCAGGTTGATCAGGCCAGTGGCCCACCCAGCCCAACACTCTGCCACACAGTGGTCAAAGATACCAGGTGCCACCAGGAGGCCCACCAGTGGATACCACCAGTGGTCTACTCATGAGACAGCAGTGAGGGTGATAAATAAGAGATCCATTGTCCCAGGGTGAAATATGGGAAATGGAAGGCAGAGAGAAAGAGAAAGGAAGAAAATTCTGGAATATGGGGCTGCCCGGTGAAAGAGAAAGGACAAAAGGATTTCACACCATAGATGGGCTGTGGTAATGGCCAGTAGACCAGTAGACCACCTGGCTGTAAAGCAGGGGAGGGGAGGCTAGGGTTTGTCTAAACCTCTGGCTATTAGCTCTGATGACTGAACAGAACCTCCATTGTCGGGGTAATATATCAGGGGTAGTGTTTGCAAATCATTAGGGATGAAAACCAACTCGGAGCATGGAGGTTTCATCGAAACTCCATCACTGTACCACCACCGAGTTGCCATCTTCTATGGTGGATTAGATCTGGAGGTGAGCCGGCCCTGGGCAGACGCCTAGTTAACTGAAGAATGCTTGTTGTCAGGTTAGGTTGATGGATGGAATTCATCTTGGATTAAGAAAATTTAACATCAAGAGCACCGCACTTTACTTAATGACTGGTTTATACTGTTTAATGGTTGTTTTTATGTTGTTTTAGTCGTTGGTATGGCAATTGCCTCTGTTGTAGCCACCCTGAGCCCGTTGGGGAGGGCGGGGTATAAATCTAATAATAAATCTAATAATAAATAAATAAATAAATACACAAGGTCTGTAGTGCACCTATTTGAAGAAGATCAGAAGAGCAGCCTATAGGGGACAGCTGAAGGACTGCTAGTTAGCGTAGCTAGATTAGGGACTTCCCACAATTTTATATTATGTCCTTCCTGTCTCCTGGTTGGATTCTTTGGAGGCTTCCTGCTCCAAATGAGCCCTCCCCCCTTCCTTCTTGTCTCTCACAGCCGTTAGTTAAGCTCCATTCCTCTGTTCTATCAGGATTTATCTCCTCTTTAATAAACTGAGTTATTTTCTTTAAACCGTTGGTGCTCCGTTCCTCTGCATGCTTAAACTCTGCCAACAAACATAAGCAGAACAGGGTCCCCAACATGGTGCCCACCATGGTGCCCACCAATTATTCTTAGGAAGAAGGAGAGAGCAGGTGGGGGCTCTTGTCCAGCAGGGTTTCTGGCTGGCCATTGGAAATCCAATGGGCTCTGCAAATTAAAATAACATTGTCTCAGCAGCAGCTGCCACCACAGCGTTGCCTTTATTCTCTGCCACTTCTCTGCCCCAGAGAAATTATCCTCTTCTTCCCTGTACGTGGGCTTCCTCTTTGTGGTTGGCACCACCTTCTGCAGCGACCATTTTTTTTTTGGCTGGCTCTGCTTCCTGTGGCAGCTATTTTATGGTTACACCCCTCATTCCGTGTCGGAAGTAGAAGGCTGTTGCAGGTGATGTTGTGAGTACGTAAGTTGTATGTTCTAGTCACAGGTTTTCTTTGATGTCATCTTAATTTACTCATGGAACAAGCAGTTGAAATAGGTTCTTCTGCCATGTCCTTCTGCCATACAACTTAAGGCACAGTGTATCAAAACAGTGTTTGCCATACTAATAAGGTATAGTCTGTTTTTATAAAGGGAGTATTTAAAACGAAATGTTGTCCAAACCATGCGTATTATGATATTCTTCTCAGGAACACAACTCAAATAAGAGGGAGTAAATATTTTAAGAGGGTGCACATTTACCACACCTAGTTTCTGCTGTCACTCAATCCTAGCAATGTCTGTCCTGTACCATGAGGAACTGCAATATAAACTCAATAGGATGGTGATTTTCTTTTTAATGGATCATGGAGCCAGCCCTGTTTTGTGCTGAGGTTTTATGGAGTGGAACTACAAGCAAAGTGCAATTTGCTGCTCCTGCTGCAGTAAAGGCCGCACTCACTTCTCCTGAGACTATGGCCTTTTCTGCATGGCTGTTTTCCCTTCCTTTCACCATGCATGTCCTTCGGGTTTTCTTTTTCATTCTGCATTGATTCCCCCCCCACACCCTTTCAGAGCTCAGTTAGCTTTCTGGTCACCATTTCCCCATTTTTTTAGAGTAATTTTGTGATGATTTTTCCCGCTTGCTTCGCTTCTAAAGCCAAAGATAATTCAAACACATACAGATTCCCCCGGATTTCCCCCCTCCCTTTCCCCACCCCTCAGAGGCCAATCCCACCATCGACATAGAGGTTGTTCCTCCCACTCTGCAGCTTCTGCTATCCCCCACCTCCATTTTGATGTAGTGGTTAAGAGCTGGGGTTTGATTCCCCACTCCTCCACATGAAGCCAGCTGGGTGACCTTGGGTCGTTCACAGTTCTCCCAGAGCTCTCTCAGCTATTGTGGAGAGAGGAAGGAAGGCAATTGTAAGCCACTCTGAGACTCCTTCAGGTAGTGAAAAGCGGGGTATCAAAGCCAACTCTTCTTCTTCTCATCAGTGTTTCCTTAGTTTATTTATTTTTTTTACAACTTGTCTTGGTTGTATCAGTTGTGATAGTGGTGGGGATGGTGGTAGGTCTCTCCATGTCTTCCAAGCAGCAGCTGTAGCTATCAGGGTGTGTGCATACTGGACTTTTTAGAGAGTACTGGAGGAGGATGTGGCATACTCTGTCTGTGCCTACAACAGCACAGGGCTGCTACCTCAAAGGCGCCAAGGCATGGGAGCCCCCTCTCAAGACCTTGAGTCAGTCGCTTCTGCCCAACGGGCTGGCCCTGTTTAGTTCAGATGCTTCTCCTTCACACCAACCAAGCCAAAGGCGCAACAGGTCTGGGCTTTCGTGGCCGGTGCAGTGGGGGATCCCCTTCCTTGCCACCACCTCATCTTTCAGGGAGAAAACCCTGCCCAGCCCAGGGACTCTCTGCTCACATGCTGCCTCAGCCCTGTCTTTTTTCACCTCACTTGGGACCCTTCCATTTACCCGGTCAGTATGTGCCTATCAAACAAGGAAATACCTCAGTCTCCCCCTCCCCTTGGGGAATGCCAGGAGAGTGGTGTGGGAGAGGGCTCTTCACCAGCTGGACTCCTTGGTCTGGAGCCGGAGTGCTGGCGGTGGCTCCTCCGAGCCTCGCAGGGACCATTGCCTGTGGCAACTCTGCTTGCCAAACATTGTGGAGCTGTTCATCCCTCACTTTCTCCAAGCCTTCTCAATTCTTTCTCTTGAAGAAATTGAATTGGGGGGGAGAGATGCCTAATCTTCCATCGTTACTCCAATGGACTCTGCAGGCAGTAGCCACCCTTTCTGTCATCCATTTTGTGAAAAAAAAGCAAGAGGTTGTAGCGTTGAATGAAATTGACATGAGATGTAGAGAGAGACTGACAATGTGTTGGGAAGCCTAAGGCTTTTTAAACATTGTTCCTTTTAATGTTTCAGTGAACACAGTATTGGGGGGGGAGCCATTATGGCAGTCTCCAAAGCAAGCCTAATATTAAAATGGCGCCTTGTTGTTTTACAACTTAATTTTTTTTTTTACAAGCAGCTGGAGTCTACAAAAATGAGATTATTGTTAGAACACTGGGGAGGGGGGAGACAGGGAAGTGAAGCAGGCATGGTGGCAGCACATTCTTTCGTTCCCCTAGGGCTGCTGCCCCGTTTCTCCCTGGAGCAGGTCTTCTGTGTATGTTAGGCACTGCTGCAAGTCTGTGACCCGGGCCAGCTGATCTGCTTCCTGATCTTGCTGCCTGCCGATGAGGCATGCCACTTGGAGGCACAGCCAGGTGCGGTGGGCAAGAGCCTGGCCAAGGCACGGGCATTGCTGACCTTCCAGCGAGGGGATCTTGCTGAGCTGTGCTACCTTTGTTCCTCTGTGCATGTGCCTGTGCTGGAGAATTGGAAAGGGGAGGGGAGGACGGTGAAGGGGGCATCGCATCACGCTGCCCTTGTACTGAATAACCTTCCCAGTCAATTTGGGTTGCGGTGAAGTCTAAAAGAAGTGGCGGGCAGGGAGGCATGGTGAGGTGATTGAGGCAAACTGCTCCCTTTGAAGCTGCCCGACAAATGGAATCACGTTCCCTCTGTGTTCCTTTTCATTCAAGGAACTGAACCATGAGGATTTAAATGGAAGGCACTTGGTGGAAGCTACTGCACAGCTGCGATAGGGCAATTGTGTAAATAATTTTTAAAAACCTTTGGATGCCACTCTCCACACGTCACAAGTCATGTTCCCACCCTTGTAGCTGCAGAATGAATACATGGTTCAACCAGATGGGGACTGATAGTTGGCCCAGGGTCCAGTTCTCAGAAAAAACAAACTCTGTGAGTCAAGTAAGGTTTTTGTGTTTTGTGAATTATCTAGGAAGTTATGCTTCAGTACCCAGACTAAGGATGGACATTACTTTCCTCGGAAACTAGATGGGATACCTTGTGTAATAGATGTTTACAGCTAATTGTCTATCCAAAGCAATCTATTTGCACACTGTAAGTCTGGATGTGTATCTTCTACATTTATATTTATAATGAAGGATCTATCTGAGTTAAAATGATGTGTGTTAAAGCTTTCAAAAAAGCAATAGTTGGTTTCTTGTCATTTTAAGGCCTACCCAAAGATACCCAAATGTACTTCAGACTTGCTAAGCTTGTCAGCAAAGTGTGTCTTCCTCAGGGTGACATGCTATAATTTAGAACCAATTTGATTCTAATAGCATTGTTGGCATGGCAGCTGCTGTGTGCACTAACTTCTAGGCACCAGTTCTGGGTGCAGACCA